TGTTGTTTGTGATTTGAGTTAGTGCTATTGCGCACTTTTACTCTATTGTGGCTGGGGGGCTTATCCCTGCCACACAATAAACTTTAACTATACTAGAATCATTATCATGTATTTATTTTCTAACTGATGATGAACCGTAGATCAGCATATCTTCCTGAGTGTCTTGAGATGGACTTAAGGTTTGTTAGGGCGGGGTTGGGCAACGTGTCAACTTTTGTGAATAATTTTAGGGCTCTGCCTTTGATATATTTTTTCACTGAATCAATTCTTAGATCTCTATGCTTGTCTGTTGTTCTAATATACGAAGGAATCTTAAATAGTCTTCTTAAAGCCAGATTTTGTGCTATCTATAATTGCTTTATGGTAGTACTTGAAGCTTTGCTGTATGTTACACATCCGTACGGTAGTGCTGGCCTAATTATTTGAGTATATAATAACTTTCTATTTTTGAGGTTGAAGCGATTGTTATTGTTTTTGGATATATAATTCTTATTAGGGGAGTAGCTGAAATTATGTCATGTGGCGGGAAGGGAGAATATATTTACTGAAATATATTTTTTATAGAAGTTTTTTGTAGCTTGCGAAATTAATTGGAATAGGAATTAGCAGCATACATCTACCTATATGTATATAAATATAAATGTTCTTTCATTTTATATATTTATTTTTAAAAGTTGACAAAATCCACCAATGTTTCTATGTCATCATCAAAATTTAATTTTTATATTTTTTATATTTTTATATTTATATTTCCAAGAGAGGCTTTATCCCCTCCATGACCCCTAAATTCGTCACTTTATTTATACATATAGAATATTATTAGTTTTGAGTATTATTAATACCAGTTTATTAAGCAAGTTATTTCATTTATTTTAATATTATTATTAAGTTTAAAAGATATTAATTTTCAATTGAAATTTACTAACTGCAATTGAGTAAATACAATTTAAATGTAAAATCTAAATAAACTTGTAAAAACCGGTAGAAATTTCCACATTTTTTCTACACTGAGACAAAAAAGTAATAATAAATATAAATGTCGTTAAAATAAATGAAAGCCGAATTGCGTATTAACATCAATACTCATATTTCAAGCTGATTAAATACGCTCATATTAAATTTAATATGCAAATTTTAATAATTATTATTAATTTCTCATAAATATTATCGTACTCTTCAAACTATAGTGAATATTGGTTAAGTCTTAATGGATGTGAAAAAAACTGTGGGGACCATATGAAAATTTCTTCCTAATCAGCGTGGTAAACCGATGTGTTGCACTCAGAAAAATGTTTTGTTTATCGCAAACGAAAAATAGGTCACCTGTTTTTTGCTTGTTGTGGTTGTTATTTCTTTAAAAGAAATAATTTATTGTAGTGTTTAAAAAAAATTGTTGCGAACTTCTGTAAACTTCTATAAATAGTCTATAGACATTTTTTTTGTGCAGTGATTTTGTAAATAAAAAAATAAATAAATAAATAATTAATAATTTCAATTCGAAACTGTAATGGGAGCTAAGTCTAAGCATGATGATTTGCCAAAGCATTATGAATGTATACATGTTGCAAATATTATTATCGGACACACCATTCTGACGACAAACCGGCCGTCGTCGGAATGGTGTGTCCGATTTCCTAATATTAATATGTAGTATGTGGACTAAAACTCGCACTCGGTCGTTTTATATAATGCCACTTCAAGCCACGCTGTTGTGATTTTCGTTCTACGTCCAGACCTCAACTTTTTCACCGCATTTTCTTAGTTTCTGCACTATTTTTTATTTTAGTTTCTGGTTCTCCTTTCTTAGTCTAATTTTTTCGTTTTGAGGACTTGAATCACATATAACTCTATCGTTCGTCAACTCACTGGGTTCGTTTGTATCTTTTCCACAATATTTTTGGGATTTACAGGTTCTGTGCTATTATCTTTTCTGCACTTGTGAGCTACCTATTACAGTAAAAGAAGGTGTGCTTTGCGTCGTCACTTCCGTAATTCCGTAAGCTACGGAATTAGTTTCTCGACATTAATTTTAAAGATTACTTTAGTAGTTTACTGACTACACAATTAATTTAATTAGTATTTTATAGTCAGTAAACTTTTACTTTGAATTGATACATTGTCTACTATTATATCAAAAGCTAAAACATAAACCCACAATTCTATTCATTTTTTCAATGTTTGATACTTGAATAACATTTTTAAGAACAAATCTGTTCATAAAGAGAATATTTTTTTATTTATTTTTTATTAAAATATATTTCAATTATTATTTTGATAGATGCAATTACATTCACTTGAAAAATGATTCAAGCTTTATTGCCAATAAATATTATAATATCATTTTTGTATTGTGTAATGTGTTTTTTTTTGTATTACTTAAAAAAAATTTTTATGACATAATTAACGAACTTGCATTTCTAGTATTTCGAATTATTGACAAACTTGAATATGACGTCGAAAGCTTGAAACTCACCATAAATAGGAAAAACCACATGTAATTAGAATATATAGAAAATAAGTTCGGAAGCAAAAAAGTAGAAAATGTATAAATCTGCAATATCTTAATGACTTTAACTTCAACAAGTCGCATATAAAATAATTTATTAGAGGCAAAACCTACTGTTTATAGAAGAAAGACAATTATTTTACAATAATTGATTATGAATAGAGAAATATATACATTTAAATTGGGTTTTCTTTGGTATATAAGTGGGTTTTTAGATATAACAATTTATTTATATATATTATAATGTAAATCTAAAAGTACTGATTGAATTAAAGTTTACATAGCTGAATAATAGAAAAGGAATAAATTAACTATTTATTATTAAAACTATAGCAAATGGAATTAAAATTTTTTATCAATATTTTGCCTAAGTATTAGCTGCACCTGAATAAAACTTGTACAAGCATTAATGAAAATTTTTAGAATCATTAACTGGAATAATTAAATCAGAAATTTAAAATATTCTCCTTACTTTCTTATTGATATACTCCTCACACTTACCTAATTTGTTGCTTCTATTCCTTCTATCACGCACCGTGTTTTTTAATTGTCTTAAGAACTGGTACGTAACCCTCAAAACTACTGAAAGGACTATTTTTATACAATATACAAATATTATGTATATATAAGTATATATAAATATTATATATATAAAAGTTTATATAAGGTAATGGTTTTTTTTGTTTTATTTTAAATATTTATTGTTAATCGTTATTTTTTATTTTATTTAATTATTTAAAAAGTGGTTTATGACCCACGTCCTTTTATTATATCCAATTAATAAAAATTAAAACAAGTTAATAGTTAATTTTTATGTGCTGCTCGCTTAATAGCCCAAGTAGAAGAGAACGAGCGCACTTTTATGGAGTTGAGAGCTACCGAAGCTAAGCGGGACTTTTCCAGACAAACAAATTGATGTCCCGTTTGGTAGCAACCATGCATTCGAATAATATCACATGATTACTTTGTTAATGAAACTAAGCACAGGGCCGGATTCTGAAACGCGTGTGTTTACTTATCTGGTATTGCAGTCGATGTTGATGGTTGTCCTGGATTAACCCGGGACAATGATTTTTTCCGTTTAGGATTCTTAAAATTAATCCATTTTTCATCGCCAGTAACAATCCGATGCAAAACCGATTTTCTTTCGTGTCTTTGAAGCAAAATTTCACAAGTATTTTTGTCTTTCATTCAATTTATGTGGCACCCATTTTCCACACTTTTGGATCTTTCCCATAGCTTTTAAACGGTCAGAAATTGTTTGTTGTGCAACATTTAACATTTCTGCCATTTGCTTTTGACCCAAAGTGTCATCTTTATCCAATATCGTTTGCAATTCGGCGTCTTCAAACTTTATTGGCGGTCTTCCACGTTCTTCATTTCTCACATCAAAATCATTATTTCTGAACCGTTGAAACCGATCACCATATGCCTCGACAAGCATTCGATGCTATTCTGCACTACTTTTCTTCCAATGAAAACAAAAAATTAATGCTTTCCGCAAATCATCATTTTCTGGTACAAAATTCGACATTCTTAACACGATGAAAAAATATGATGTTGTCTGTTCAATGACTTGATGTATACTAAATATATTTCACACATGTCATAGCAAAGAAACAAAAAAAAATAAAGGCTCGTTCACAACAAATGTTCCCTGTCGGAACATTTGTATCTTTACGCTCATTTCATACTGGTACACCTGGTATACAAGTATATATATATAAAGGTATCATGACTATTTAATAAGATAAAAATTATTTTTTAGATCTTTTTTAGAAATTATTTAAAAGCTCCTTCGAAACTAAATTCCTGTTTATGGGTTGCTGTTTCTTCAGCCAAAACACACTAATTTATCCATTATTTCTAATTCGTCCTAGTAAATTAGTTCATTAATATCTAAATAAACAGTAGGATGATTACATGAAAACAGTAATTGATAGTAGAAAAATTATTTTATAAAATAATTTTATCATGTTTTGTAAAGATGTCACTCAGATATTTTTTGGATTTGGGCCACTTTTTGTTTTACAAGTAAATTAATTGACACAAAAAAAAATTCAGTTCTTTTGGAATTAATCTTGCAACTTACTCCCGAACTACTTAAAGTAAAGAAAAGTTCGAATTATTCAAACAATTATTAACAATGTCTGATCCCAAGAGTCCTTACAGCCCAGTCTTAAAGACCGTGGGAGAGTTGTGCTGCATATATCAATATTTGTGATTGCAAATCTTATTTAAGAAAATGAAACTGCAATTAAGGATACTTGTATTCTGAAATTATATCAACAACGCAAGAAATGAATTCATATTATAAAAAGCCACCTATACATAACATATGAACCTATACATAGATACATAATTTTGAACTACAATTTTACTAATATAACATTGCTTATACCATACATTTTATACTTTGAGAAATTTGTCAAGTAATTTCTATATAAATAATAACGTAAAATAATAATTTTAAAAACGTATAATTATACAAAATTACATTATTATAAAATTTACAAAATTTGTGAGTATAAAAATGCCTCCGTCTGATAATTTTCCGTTTTGGTTGTACCTCATATTGATATTAGTTTTAATGATTTTATTGAAAGTATGTAATTTCGTATATTAAAAATAATTTCTTGTTTCAATATTTATTTAAAATTTTTGTAGTGGTCTTTAAAAATCATTTGTTTGTTTGATGATAGTTCGGCCCGTCATTTTCACCAATTACAAGAACACCACCAAATAGCAGGTCAGTTATTATTTTATTTATAAATATTATAATAAAATTAATATACAAACGACAAAAATATTGTTTTGTATAATAAATGTATAATAAATTTAAAAAATATATCATAAAATATATATATCATAATGCGGCCCTATATTTCTCCTAGGAGTTCAAATATTTAATATATATATATACCATTTAAAATAAATCAACATATAGTAGTCTAAATCTAGCGACACTACCACAATGTCACAAAATGTGCTCTGCTGTATTCTCTTTTTCGTGACAAAATCTGCAGCTATTGCCCCTTATGATACCTAAATTCGATAGATGCTTCTTAACTTCGTAATGGCTACTGAGAAACCCTGTGATAAGCCGAATACCTTTGCTGTTCAGCATTAGCAGCTCCCTAGTTCTGCTTTTGTTTAGCGATTTTGCATGAATTTTTTAGCTTGTCTGCAGACATTCACGTAATTCTAATCAGTCTAAGCTATTTTTTCCAGCCATTCATTAATTTCAAATTTGATAAAGCATCAAAACGGTCTTGGGTTAAAATAATATGAGGCCGCCCCTTTTTCTGATTAGTTCATCGGCTTTATCGTTTTCCTCAAATCTGATGTGTCCTGGGATTCATATTAAGTGGACCCAGTTCCTTTCAGTAAGATTTCAGCAAGAGTTTTAAAGTTACTCCAGGTGAGCGGAGTACTAGGTGTGCTGATTGCTATCAAAGAAAATACGTATGTTTTTCTCTGAGGTGGGGATTCTCTTTATATTTTCTTAAATATACTTCAACTGCGTGTACTTCGGCCTGAAAAACTGAGTTTTCTTGACTTATATTCGCAAATATTTTTTTGTGGTTTAACACCATAGACTCCCGCCCCCACTCCTTCCAAAGTTTTGAAGCCATCCGTGTACCACAAATGGTAGTCTCCAACGAATGGAGGTATATTCCGTTCACAGTCATTTCTGTGTGGTATTAGTACACGGAACATTTGGTGAAAGTTAAATTTAGGTGAGCAAATGTCAGATATGGTGATGTTTAGTCCTTCCACTCTTTGCATTTCCTTACCTAGAACGGAGTTATCGAGTAAGCTTGTTGATCGATAACTAGTCAACCGTAGCTTAGCTATAAGGTCATTTCTTCCTTTTTGACAAGTAGATAAAGTGATTCTCTTCGCTCTATTCATCATTATGCAGACTAGTCTCTGCAGCGATCTATCACGGTCCTTTACTCAGCTTTTTTGTATCAGATGGATGATCCATATGTAACAACTAGTCTAGCAATACCAAAGATATGTATTCTACTTGTCATGATTCTTAATCGGGGAGCGTAAAAATAAAAATAGATTAACTCAATTTAGCTATAATCAATTTTAAAGGGCTACAACTTTCGAACTAGAGGTAACACTGCGCTAATATTTTGTTTAACAAAATCTTATATTTTATAACCGAAATCAACTATTTTTAGAATAACTCAATGTTTCCAAAAATTTTTGTTTTCCTGTGAATTGAGAAGACTTCCACCACTGTCTCCGAGAAAAACTACCCCATATTATATTATAGCCCAATATGGGCTATGTTTGTAAGTTATTTTGGGTGTTATTTCAGTTGGAGATTCCCTTTGATATTCACAATGTTTTTCTGTAAAATTTGTTAAATCTTTTCTATATAGTAAATTAGAGCCAATGTTAAAATTTTATAGTTCGTTAAATTAAACTTTCACTATATTGCATTTTCGTCATAATAAACGTCTGCTGTATTCAATTTGAACTGACTACGTATATATCAACATAAATAATAATGATCGTTTATCCTACTTTATCTAATATGTATGATAATGATATAATGATAATATAATATATAATATAATGATATTTGAAAAGCATATCCAGTAATTTCATGTAGATTTCATTAAAGCGATTGGAGTCCATAACATTCGATTGTCTAGATTAGTTAAAAAACCTTTGCCATTGTCTCTTCTAATAATAATTCTACCAACAATATAGCACGAGTACATACTAGAAATAAGATTATTTTTTATTTTAGTAATTTTTTTCTTCTACAAAAAAAAATACATAACATGATACGTTAGCGCAATATAATAATTATATACATTTATTCAATCTATGGTCTATACGCATAGAAATACCCAATAAAATCATAATAAGATTATGTTTATTACTCATTATATTCTATGACGTACAAATCTGCATAAATATTCAATAACGTAAACAAGTTAAACATATTTACCACAAGTCAAGAAATACATAAGATAATTATTTAGATTAAAATATATTTAAGATACAATTAAATAACTATTTTTAACTTTTTATTACAACAATAAAATTATTATTCGGTAAGTTCAGTAAATTCTCATAAGCTTCGATTAGGTTTTGAGGACTACACTTGAACTATAATTTTATACATATTTATTAGTCCAGACAGATGACGAACTTAAACGTTATCATTTTTCCCAATATTAATATACGTACTCTTTTACTGTTGGTCTTATCGATTCATTGTAGCAAAATTAATCAAACTGAATTGAAAAATATATTTTACAGTTCATTCGACGACAGTCACATTTAAAGAAGTGTACGCAAACGTTTAAAATTTAATCCAAAAAATACATAATTCAGAAATGAACACAATCGTCATAGTCAGTTTAATAGTTTTCAAACTAATTGTTTGGCTTATCGTTGTAAGTTTCAAATTTCAATAGCATAATTTTTTCAATATATATTCCACATTTAAATTCCATATTATTTCAGTTAATATGTAGTTCTGTATCTAAATACAGAAAGAGAAAGAACCAGACAGACAGACAAACAGACGATTGTGAAGGTAAGAAAATATACATTTTGTTTATAGATTTTAGTATATATTTTAGAATAATTAAAAAAACTGTCGAATATAGCCCCTTTTTTAGGTAAATAGATTATAATGATTTTTACTTGGTCGCCAAAGTGACAACAAACCTTTAAATTATAGAACTTTTTTAATTCATTATCATTCTGACTTGTTTAGAAAGCAAATAAACAAACATATTTAAATAACTAATAGATTTGATTTGGTATTCATTATGTATGGTTTACTATATATACTATACTATATATGTATGGTATACTATACTATATATCATTATAAATGATGATAACATTCAGTTATAACTAAAACATAAGTCTTTGTAATTTAACGTTGTTAATTATTTTGTGTAAATCTGTATTTTCTAAATAATTTTATAACACTTCTATTAATATATCTTTTATTAATGTGTATTAATATTAATCTTTTTATTAGAAAAAGTTAAACCTTTAAACAAGAGCAATATTTCATCAAATAATGTGGGGGAATATCATATAATCTAATAGCATGTTTCCACTACTTACTTAGTAAGTGTAACAAGAGCAATATTTCATCAAATAATATGGGGTATATAATATAATCTAATAGCATGTTTCCACTACTTACTTAGTAAGTGTAACAAGAGCAATATTTCATCAAATATAATGGGGTGTATAATATAATCTAATAGCATGTTTCCACTACTTACTTAGTAAGTGTAACTTACTAAGTAAATTTCGTTAACCATACTAAGACTTTCTGTGCTTTTTAATTTGTTTAAAAATAAAGTAAAGACAATTAAATGAAAAATGTCAAAAGCAACTCTTTAAAATAAATTTCCCACAAGGGAAAATACCAAAATTTTAAATATTTATCATAGGTTTTATATGTAAAATTTAAGCAAGCAACAGTTGACCTATAAACAAACGCACTTAGGAAAGTATTTAATAAAATCTTTGTTGTAATGGATATACAAAAAGTTATATATATATATATATATATATGGTTTAATATATCAATTATATATACAATTTTTTGTATGATATATTATTAAGTTAACTTTATTTAAACAAACAGAAGCTTTCTCTCAAAAATTTCAAAGAACATTTTTACACATAAAAGCTCTTTCACATGCAATATGTACTTTATGTCAATGGAAACGACCAAATCTTAAAGTTACTTAAGTAACTTACTAAGTAAACAGTGGAAACATAGTAATAGCATATATTTTGTTTATAGTCCAACTATAAATTACAAAAAAAATAGATAGCACAATAAACATTACTTTGTAATAGTAGATATCATTTGTTTTTTGAAATAAATTTACAGTCCAATATAAATTGTAATCATTAGTCAACGTATACAGACAAAATGGTAATCTATGGTTAAACATAGTTCTCTCAGTTTAAATATTCTATGCAATTATTTATTGAACTTATGAGTACTTGCAAGTATTTGCAAATACTTGTTTTGGCACCCGCAACTATTCATCATCAATGACACTCATTTGAATATATTCAAATATAATTTTGTGTGTATATATTCCGAGAATATATTTCTATTTATTAATCAATACATTCAATAAATAATATATTTAGATTGCTATATTTGTATTCACTGTATTAGGGGTATGTTATACAGACAGTCATGGTTACAACAAATGTGAAACCGTTGTTGTTTTCAATAGAAATTAAAAACTTGAGAATGAAAGAATGTTAGAAAGAGAGAAATTTCGATTTTAATTTGGTCACCTACTCAAGGCTTTCCGTGTCTCGTCATGTTTGTCAAAACAGTGTTGCTCAGTAATAAATAATAGAATTTGTGTTTATTAAGAGCATATATATGTAATTTACTATTAATATGTATGTAATATGTCCACTTAACCACCAAAAAGTATAAAAATAATAGTAAAAGTATGAAATTTACAATCATTATATGACTCTCTATATTACAAGTCTTTTGGTCACCACCAAAAGGGTCCAATATCTTTTGGTCCCTACCCTTAAAAGTATGTAGGTATACCTAATATATGATATTATGATATGATATAATCATATAATTAATTTAAAAAAAGCTCTTATTTTTAATTCAACAAAATAGCCACAATTTTTAAATCAAAATACATTGAAAAATGATATTTTAAAAATATTTTGATTAAATTTGTAAGTTACAAATTTCTTATTGAAGTAAGATAAAAAAAAATTGCGCAAATTATATATAAAATATTGCGTTTCAAAAATAAGAACAATGGAAACCGATGGCAACTTTATGTGGTGTGCTCTAATGATATTTTTTGTTCTTTGGCTTATTGTTAAGGTAAGCGAGTAGTTATAGATATTGTTTTGAAAAGAAAAAGAAGTTGAAATATAGCCCCAAACCTATTTTTACTTTCCAGTGGATTATAAAAACTTTTAGCTCTCCAGAACCACACACCTACGCAATTCCATACCATCATTACTGTAATTTTCAAGGTTAGTGCGTTTGCATTTATATATTTAAAAAATAATAATATAAAATATTATTATCTACTTTTATAATTAACCATTAAATTTTTTGAAATCTAATTCCAAATAATGCGCTATGTAATTATAAACAATAACTATATCACAAGTTACATTGTATTTCCAATAACATAGAATTACTATTTAACCACTAACAAAATAACTATATTAATGTATATTTCGTAAATGAGGTAAAAGCTTGAGTTAGTTGGGTTTCTATGTGAGTACATTTGAACGAAATATTATTATAATATTTATTTAGAAATTTATCATAAGATAATTAAAAATTATTTTTCCTTATCCTAATCTTATATTCTTTTTCCAATTAAATTCGTTGAATGGATGCAAACTTTATTATTTTTAATAGGCTTTCAGACAGCCTTTAAAATACTAATGTACGCTAATGATTAAATAGTGAATATACAAGTAATATCACAACTGTGCAGTTCGTAAGCCCTTTTGGCTAGACTCAATCCAAAGCCTGAACCAATAACCCGATAAATTGTCTTCTATTTTTATATTTTAACTACTAGCATTTAGACTTAATATGATCCTTCCAAGTCTACCTGTAGAACAAGTATCTTTTGTTAGAAAAAAAAAGATAATGCCTTGAATTGGTAAGGGAAAGTTAATCTGTTCCATTTTGAAAATCAGTTGTCAGCTTGGATAGCACATTCTGAGTTTGAACTATCTGCTGAGTTTTTTTTGTGCATAAACAAACTATGTAGATCTAGTTAAGAGTAAGTTCAAAACCAACTTTTTGAATAATTTAAATAGTTTCTACTACTGTATATTTAGGGATTTCTCTTGTTCATGTAACGAATTTGTAATACTTCTGGCTTATTTGACAGTTCCCGTTCTTGTTAATCATTTAAACTAATTTAATTTTTAAAATTCCAGACTTATTCATATATTTATTTAAATACTTTGAGAATGTCATGTTATTTTTGTTATAATAATGCTACGCATCACAGCAGTCACTTAAATGCTAACATAGTAAGACTTCATTGTATGCTAACTACTATTAGCATAACATAGTATCCAATGTAAACATAGCAATATTTTTTCGAACTATTGTTAGAATTCTAATTATATTCTCACCAGACAGAGACAAGTTTACTAAATATATTATATTTTTTCTAATAAAAGTTGAATTAAACAGAAATTATCTTTGTTTTAAATTTTAGGTCAATTGATTTTCGACATTGATAATTCGAACATCGTAAAATAATAAATCATAATAGTGATATTCTATTTTTATACCTTTACTAAGCCATTTCTAAGATATGTCAATTTCTATATTGATAATTTTTTAATAGGCGATATATTATATTTAAAGTTTAACTTTACAAAATATGATTAATGCATTGACAAAATTCTAAAAATAAAATTGTTACGCAAAACACGGATAATATAGTACCAGATAGTACCAGACTTTTTAGATTTTAATTAATAAAATAGAATAGAATTGCAGATATATATCAGCAAATTAGTATATACTACGGAAGAACAAATGAGGGTTCTCCAGAATTTTTTATACAATTTTTATGTTTCAAAGAAATCTTCTTTTAAACTATATGTTATTTAGTAGATATGATTGATAAGATAAAAGTTGCACAAAATATTTTCTTAGTTTTCATTTAAAGAAAAATTTCTTTAGCTCTTTAGGTGATAGTGCACAATAATGAAATATCTAGAAGTACAATTTAGAAACAATGTATAATGTAGAGCCAAGAAGTAGTTAATACACCCGTTTAAATTAGGTAACCTAAGTCAACAGCAAAAGTAATATTAAAGCTTAAGATCCCCTTTTCTCACTGATCTGACTGAGCTGTCATCCTGTAATGTTAGGGACCTAGTCAAGTTGATAGAACTGTCAGGTTGGTTTTCCTTTACCTAATGGGGGAGTCGTTACCTTAACTCGGCGTTGAATGTATACTGACCTAAATCTACGTACATACCAACGTCATTTCTGTGATACCACAATGGGCCATCATTTGAGCTCAAGTGGGCTTTTTGGGGTACAATGCCGCCACTTCAACCTAACTACCATTCCTTTAAAGACTAAACAGTCAGTAAATGCTAAATGTTATACTTGCACCATTTAATAAAAGATAGGAAGATTCAACAATATGCAGGCATCTTCATACAATTTGGTCACGCTCCAATAAAATGAAATCAAATTCTCTCATTGAGATGCCTCGTAGAGATATCAGTCTTGTAGTAGGTTTACTTACAGGTCATTACATTTTAGGTAAACATGCTAGAAGTCTAAATCTTCTTTGCATTTATAGCTGCCGCAGTTGTGGAGAGGAAGATGTATATGCCTCCCACGTGCTTCATTTCTGTCCGGCATATGCGCGGCGTCGCCTTAACACTTTAATGGCTTTCTTTTTTGAGGTACTCGGTGAACTGCAATACCTTCCTCTAAATAGCATTATATGCTTTGCTAAAGGTTCTAAGTGGTTCTAACCCTTGAGTTTTAAATTAAATGATAACA